TCCAGCTGTAGGAATTTTGGGTTGTGATTTAGGTGGGGGCTGTTCCTTTGCTTGGCCGTGCCTGCACAGAGAGTCCATATTGGCATGTGCAGAGTGCTGTGGCTTTGGAGAGCCTTGGGTTGGAGGGCAGTGTGCAGGATGCAACTGCTGCTGATCCACGTGGCCATAGTTGGGTGCACAGAGTGGGGAGCAAGCATGTTGCTAGCTCCTTGGTAACTCCTTGCTAGCCCCTTACTAGTGCTTTGGTGACTTCTTGATAACTCCTTGCTAGCCTCTGGTGTCTCCTTGGTAGCTGCTTTCCAGCCCCTTGCCATCCACGTGTCCTCTCTACCAGGGCTTTATACAAATCTGACTATCCCTCCTGTTCCTGGGCTTTTTCTGGGCCACCACCCATAGCTTTCTTCATCCCCTGCTGTGGCTGTGGCTCTGTAGGGATGGCAGCAGCCTTATTTCCTAAACAGCAGAGGAGGACGGTAGTGGTGTGGGCTCTGAAGCCAATACTGGGCAGTTTTTAGGGCAACATTTGTCCTTCGTTCTCTTTTGGATGAGCATATGGGGCACCCAGCTGCCTGCCTCAGGCAGGATTTGTCCCTGCTTGGATTTGTCCCCATCCCCAAGGAGGTGCTGCCTTACCATGGATATAGGGCTGCCCCCCAGCATGGCATTCTCGGGGTGCTTTGATTCCTGGGAAGGGCATCGGGCACCTCAGAACTTCCTCTGTGGGGTGTGCAGTGCCCCCGAGCCCTGTGTGGAGTGGGAAGCAGCAGCTGGGCTGCAGCATGGGCTTTTCCCACTCCTGTCTCGAGGAAATCCCCAAACGTCCCCAGCTGCCCCTTCCCTGCCCCACTTTTGATGCGTGGGAGCTGAATCCTGCTGTAGGAGCTGAACGCTGCCGTGGGGCCCTACCATCCCCAAAGCCCTTCCCCTTCCCTCTCATCCCAAAGCCCTTCCCTTCCATCCCCAGCTCGCATCTTCTCCCGGCCAGGTGGCCCACGGCTTATATAATGCGCTCAGCCCCGGAATAGCTCCTCCCGTTACACAACGGGCACTGCATCCGGGGGGGGGGAACCATGGGGGGGAGGAGACACGGCTGCTTGTTTGCCCCACACCGTGACCCCTGTATCTGGAGCCCCCCCATCACCATTGGGAAGGTATCTCCAGAGCATGTCCTGCCCATGCCCTAACTCCTTGTGCCAGCGACCCCACATGTGCCCTCCCGCAGGGTCCTGCCCCACTCTGTGCCCCCTGGCACGCCACAAAGGAGCCCAGTTGCTTGGTAACTGTTTAGCTTCTCTGCCAGCCTCATCTATTTAAAACATATAGATTTATGCTCATGCCTATGGATGCACAAGCAGCAGCAAGCCCTCGCCCAGCCCGTGAGCCCTGGCGCACCGCGTTGCGTCGTTAGCTGTGATGAAGCTCTCCTGGATCACCCAGGGATGACCCTGCATGGTGTGAGGTGTTGGGTGTTCAATGGGGCTTCCCCATGTGCTGGGGCATCATGTGTGTATTTTATCATAGAGTCATTCAGGTTGGAAAAGACCACCAAGATCATCTAGTCCGACCACCATGCCTTAGATATTCTTTATTTCTTTAAAATCTGAAAATTGCCAGATTTTAGCATGCAGAAGGCAGTGTCCAGGCAGTATTCCATGGCTGCTTGTCCCACCAGGCTACGGGAATGGCATCACGATGTCTGAGCCACATGGATGCAGCCAACTGATAGCCCGTGGTGCCATGCTGGTGGCTGCACAACCCCAGCCTTGTAGTGGCTCTGCAGGGTCCTGGTGGCTCAGCGCTATCAAGTCCCACCTGGTGAGGATTTCAAGCTGATTTTCTTCTTTTATTCTTTTCTTTTTCCCCTTTTTTGGAGGTCTGACTCATGGTTTTTGGCACTCGGGCTGCTGGGCGGCAGCGCCTGGGAAGGTCGGCCTAATTAAAGGCAGGAACCCAAAACTCTTCCTCCTTGTAATGCTGGCCACGTATTTAGGAAAGGCTGCTGTGTTATGGCTTTTGGTGCTGTGATGTGTGCTCGTGCGTGGCTTGGAGGAGGCCTTCCACTGGCCATCTTCAAATAATGGACAATTAGCAGCCCGCAACAAGGCAGAAAGCTCTTTGGGGATGGGATTATTATTTCTGCTGTGTGCTGATTGCACACCCTGATGAGACCCAGAGGGCAGTGCTGGAGCCAGCACAGTGAGATGGCATTGTGGATAAGGAAACTGAGGCATGGAGCGAGACTGGTGGCCCGAGTGGGGCAGGGTTTGTGAGTGAGAGGTCCTCTGCTTGGCTGCGTCATGATCTCTTGTGGGACTGAGCACTGGGGAGCTCGGTGTGTGAGCAGCACAGAGCAGGGGATGGTGGAAGGGGATGGAGATGGGGACAGAGGATGGTGGATGGGGCTGGAGGTTGGAGCATGAGAGTGGAGATGAAGGTGGGCGGGTGGGGGTAGATGATAAGGATGAAGGCTGGAGCGTGAGGATGTAGCATGGAGATGGAGGATGGGATGGGGACGGAGGGTGGAAACGAAGATGGAGGATGAGGATGAAGATGGAGGTGGAAAATACAGGATGGAAGGCACAGCATGGGGGTGGTAATGGGCATCTCTCGACGTTTCCAAAAGCAGGTGGGATTTTCTCCTTCCAATTCTTGTTTGCTTGGCACAAGCTGCCAGCAACAGACGAAGGCTTCATCCCCCCCCCCTCTTCCAGGACTGCCTTCCTCTTGTAAACAAGGTGGAAATTTTAAAGGGGAAAATCGCTCGTTGCTCTTTAGAAGAAGAGCAGTGATGCCAGTCACAGTGTCATGCCACCCCCTGGGAGACCCTGGGCCAGCCAAAGCCACATCAAAGGGATTTTTGCTTTTTCAATGCTCAGCGTTGGCCTCTCACTGCTTGCAGAGATGTCAGTGTGTCCTCGGGTGTCCCCGTCCCTGCTGCATCCCATGCCCCCTTCCCCGGCACGCAGGCACTCGCCATTGCCCTGTCTGGTGCAGCTGGATGTGGTGAGAATTAATTGAGCACCGACCGGAGGTGGCTTTAATTAGCGGCCAGGCAGGGGGCTCCGCTGCTGTGCTTCCCCTCCCTGGGGGAAAAGAGAAGAGACAAATTTTCTTGGGAGTTTCCCCCTGCACCAAAGCACTGGGGAATGGCTCTGGTGGTGGGGATGGATGCCAGCACTGTGTCCTGCAACGCGTTCCTACGAGCCCATGGGAACAGTGCCTGCTCTCTCTGTGAGGCAGCCGGCTCTCTGGCTGCCAGCACATGATGATTTGTGGGTAATTACTGCAGATAATGAAATATTTAACCATCCTGTTTATTATTGTGGATAGCAGTGAGCCAGGCAGGAAACTGCTGGCTTTTGGGTCGGGCCAGTGGGAATCACCATTGGAATGGTGTTGAGGGTGAGGATGGAGGCTGTGGATGAGGATGTGGGTGGGTTTGAGGATGAAGGATGCTAAAGAGCGTGGGGATGAAGATTGGGGTGGAGGATGTTGTTGAGGATGGAGATGGAGGCTGCAGATGAAGCTGGGATTTAGGATGGGGATAGTGTTGAGGATGGGGGTGGATGCTTGGGAGTGAGGTGGGGATGTGGGTGATGTTGGGGATGGAGGCTTGGAATGAGGCTGAGGTGCTGCCTCCACTCCAAGCCTTGCTCCAGCACAGCCAGGCCATCCCTGCTCTGTCAGTGGCTGATGACTGGAGGTTGTGGAGGTGATGGCTGCCCTCCTGCAGCATGTCCCCAAGCTGTCCCTTGCACAGGGTGGTGTTGCTGGAGGTCTCTTTTTGGGACAAAGGAGTGCAGACCTAGCCCATCCTCCTGGGGACTCCATTTGCCCCAGTGCATTGTCCCTATTGTCCCCATAGGCACAGGACTTTCTCCATTTCCCATCCAGGGCTTTTGCTGGTGGCTCTGCTTTGCTATTTATAGCAGGATGGTGTTTGCGGGTAGTTTTTTATCTTCCTTTGTTTTCCTGCCTGTGCCGTCACTGAGGCAGGATTGCTGTTATTAGATGTTATGGGGAATATTACTCACTTCTGAGCACTTCCCTCCCTGCCACCCCCAGCCCCTTGTCCTCAGCTGCCTGGCAATGGCTTCCAGCAATCCAGGAAGGGGGCATCGACACCAGCTGAGCATCCCCCATTCCCCTGCCCCCATCCCACCATGTTCCAGTAATGTCTGGGGACAAAGGAGTCCCAGCCCCTCTCCCACAACCTCAGAGGGGCCCTGCAGTCAGCCTTTGCAAACCAGCACTCAACATCGGCTTTAAGGGCTCTGCAAAGACACTGAGCTCCATCCCCACTCAGGTTTATCTCCCGTTAGGTATATTCCCCAATGGGTCCAGCCTCCGCCACCTCATAGTTCTTATCTGTAGCTCTGGCAGCCCATTTATCTCCTCTCTCTGTGCACGCATTCCTTCCTCTATCAGCCCAGCGACACATTCAGTGCATTCTCAAGGTTTTGCAGCAATGAATTTCCCCACTGCTGGGTTAAGGATAAAATGAATTCCCACTGGAGGAAGCGAGCAGAGGCTGCTGCTGCAGAAAGCATCCGCCTCTTCCCCCTCTCTCCGCCATGGAAGGAGCCCTTTGGTGGAGAAACCGTTCCCGATGGGAAGCTTCCATCATTCCCGAGTTCTTGTCCCTAATGAGAGAAAGGCAGAGCTGTTGAGGAAGAGGAGCCCAAGCTGGCATGGGTGGCTGAACATGTATTGGCCCATAGGTGACATTTCCATAGAGATCCTGCTGTAACCACGCTGGTTTCCTTGTGTTTCAGACATAGGAATCAATAGGCTTTAATAATGCAGAGAGGTGCTCGGAGAGCACAAGGATGTTCGTCCCTGCTGCTGCTTCCAGCGCTGTGCCCGGGTACCTCAGGGCAATAGGAGCGCTCCGCTGGCTCCCGTGCTCAGTCCCACACCACGGGTGTGTGATTGCACAGCACTGGTGGTGACCCATTGCTCTTTGTTCCCACCAGGTGCTGCCTGCCACCCGCACTACCATGGCTCTCTACAACAATGGGGCCAACGTGCCCTCGCCCCAAGAGGCCTCCAACGGCTTCTCGCAGCCCGGTGCCTCGGGCACGTGGCACAAGGCAGAGGAGGAGGTGAGGCTGGTGGAGCCCAGCCTGGTGAAGAAGGCTCACCGTGAGATCCTGGACCACGAACGCAAGCGGCGGGTGGAGCTGAAGTGCATGGAGCTGCAGGAGATGATGGAAGAGCAAGGGTGAGTGGCGGGCATCCGGGGCTGAGGTGTGGGGTAAGCCGTGACATGGGGCCCCTGTTGACTTCTCCTTCTGAAGTACCTTGAAGTGGCAGAGGTCCACAGTTGGAAGGGAATTTGTGTTTGGATGGGTTAGCCTATTCTCTTAGAATCGTAGAGCCATTAAGGTTGGAAAAGAGCACTAAATCACTAAGCCCAACTGTTTAGCCATCATCCCCATCACCAGGCCATGTCCCTAAATAGAAAATAAGCATGGGGTGGGGAAAAGAAGCAGAGCAGTTGTGTTTAGCCCCAGGTGAGGCAATTACAGTGCTTCAGTTTGTCCCTGCTCTCTTCTCACTCTCCAGTTTTGGGACTGACGCCTGACTGATGGAGCAAATGCTTCAGCACACGCAGGGAGACGGGGACTGGGATCAGCTGGGGAGAGGGAAAATGGATTGAGAGGAGGCTTCGCCAAAGCTTTCATTAAGAGCACAACTGTGACCTAGAATTAAATTGTCTCACACAGGCTGGAATAATGATTACGCCTAATTTGTCATTATGGAAATAAATAAGGCTGACCTGGCGCCTTGGGGAGCCCAGGTCCTCCTTTTGGGTTCCCGTGCCCTGCTAGGATTCTCACTATTAGTAGTGGCATTACTGCAGCGGGTAGTATTGTGATGGGTACTGTTGTTATTGCTCTAATTGCCTTTGCTGTTATTAAGGCTATTAATAACGGTGATACACCGAAATGATAACGTAATTACAGCCGTCATCTTGGCCAACCTGGTTAATCCCCCTCTGCGTGGGAGCTCTCCCGGGGGCTGCAGGGGAAGTGCTCTGGGGGGGGTTCTTCCACGGGGGATTGATCTCCAAGGGCAAGGCCCAGTGGGACCAGGTGCTGTGATAGCAGAAAAGGGTTTTGGGGCATTGGAGCATTCCTTCCGTGCGGATGGCTCCTCCTGATCCGGCTCTGACTGCTGCCCATTCCAGACTGCCCGCAGGGTTCCTTCTGGCTGGTGGTTGGATTTCTTCTCTGGATAAGAACTGTCAGCAATTTCTCCTCCCTTCTCCACCCTGTTCTCTGCATTCAAGGCAAAAAAAACCAAACAACCCACCTTCTGCTAGGGTTAAAAGCAGCTGCTCTGCAGCCAATCCTCAGGTTCCCCATGCTGCAGGGTGAGTATCCATGATGCAGCTGGTGAGGTGAAGAGCAGCGTTCTGGGGGTGCTGCCCTGTTTAGGGGTCTCCCAGCGCTGGTGGGATGCAAGGCGCAGGAAACAACCACAGCTGCCTGGTTCACCACCCTCCTGCTGGGCAGCCCTGTCTGGCTGGAGTATTAATGAGTCCATTTCAGTGCAAATGAGCTCATTAATATTAATTCCTCTTTCATTATGGTTGAGCTGTGCACCCGACTGCAGGATGTGGTCCAGGTGCTGCCCCATGCCTCGCTCTCCGGGGGAGATTGCCGGAAGCACGGTGATTTTCTCCATTTCAGTACAGAACCTTCAGGTTCGGGTCCAGGGGATGCTCTGGTGCCTTTGTGCCAATGCAGGATGCAGTATAGAAGTGTCTGCTGTCACTGATCCTCCTGTGTCTCTGGCACGGCTGGAGTGCTGTGCTTTGCTGCGGCTGTTTGCAGATGCCAGGGACAAAGTGATTAGTGTCTCTCGTTAATAACCCTGCAGTGGCCTGAGTCAGCGTTTGGCGTTAGCACAGTGCTGGCTTGGCTGCTGGGACGCAGCACAGTGTGGGGACAAGCAAGGGAGGCTCATGTAGGGATGGAGGAGGGAGCTGGCCTCACCAGCTATGAGGACGCAAGGTGTCCTCATAGTTGTCCTCCTCTTTTACTCTCCCTCTGCTGAGTGCTGCTTGGGAAGGGAATGCAGGATTGAGGGAGTGCAGAGCACCAGGAGGAGGGTCCTGCTGTCCTCCAGGCCCTGCTGACCATCACAATGCCACCTCTCCTTCCCAGCCCCTCTGGCCACGTGCCACTCCTAAGGGTATGGGAGGTCATCAGCACGTCCTTGCCCTGCGTGCCCCTTCGGCCATTCCCCCTCCTCCTGTCTCGGCCTTGGGGGGGCACACAGTCCCTGGGGAGCCAATGCCGTAATTGTGCCAGCTCTGACTGCATCTCTGCCCACCCAGGTACTCAGAGGAGGAGATCCGGCAGAAAGTGGGGACCTTTCGGCAGATGCTGATGGAGAAGGAGGGCGTGCTCACCAGGGAAGACCAGCACGGGCGCCAAATGTAAGTGGGGCAGCTCTGAATCTGCCCATCTCTGTCCTACATGTTTCTGTCCCGGGGATACATATCCCAGATTGTCACTGAAGATGGGTGGATATATGAGGATAGTTGGATAGATGATGGATATAGAGGGTGAGTGGGGGTAGATTGTTGGATGGATGGATGGATGGATGGATGGATGGATGGATGGATGGATGGTTAGACAGCTGGTTGGTTGGTTCATTTGCTAATTGATTAGTTGGTTGACTGGAGGCAGACTTTGCCTCTCTGAAGCAGGGTACTACCTCTAGAGAGGTTCTCTCTCCCCAGTTGTTTATCACCCATTGAGTGCTCTATAGAGGTGCCATTATTGCAATGCTCCTATTTCAGATGATGAAACCAAAGCATAGAAAGGCTGGCCACTCACTCACCCTTCCAGCCAGTGGTGGAGAGCAAGCTGCAAGTTTGGTGTTCACCAGGCTGTGTGTGTGAGTCCAGCCACTCATGCCCTGACTCTGCCAGCCCATGAACATCACTGAGGTCACTGGAGCAGAGCAAAGCACTAGTTTGATCCTATATGATGTTCAGCCCATGCTTCACCGTTGCCCACTCCTGCTGTGCTAGTTGCTTCTCCTGCCCTCTCCAGGGCTGAAAACACAGCTTCTCTGTCTGGGTAAAAACTCCTCAGAAGGATCTGCCCCGTTTTCATGCTGATTTATTGGTGTGATGCTTAATGGCCCAGACAGCATGGCTGGTCTGGCGCACACCATCTATCAGCCTGGAAACCAGGTCACTTGGGACAGGAATAGATGCTGCAGGTCCACTGAATATTAATGCTTCATTAGGGTCAGGAAATCAGGGCGAGGGGGAGGCGGGGAAGCCACTGTGTTGGGGACAGCCTTCCTCTGCCAGCAGCCACCAAGCAGGACCAGGGCTCAGCTGTGCCCAACCCCACTTGGGGTGCCCATCCCCATCCCCACTCCAGAGACCATCTGGGTCTTTCTCCAGGCAGGTGGGAAAACCAAGGCATGGGGTAAACCAACCTGCCAGGGTCGCTCAGGCAGCTGAGAGTCCTATTGGCATGTTAACAAGTGGCCTTTGCCTGCGGGGCACAAGTTGTCTCCAGGGCATCTTCCCAGGAGAGGCTGCCCATCTCATTAGGGCTGGTGTTTTAATGAGCACATGGCGAAGCCAGAGGTGTGTCCAAGGGTACCCCAGAGTGGCTGTCACCTTTCCCTGATTGCAGGCTTGCTTTGGAAGGGTAAGCATTAGATTAGCCCATGGGCTATAAATAATAGTGCTGAGTTGGAAGGTCTAAAGCAAGAGACTGCAAGGAGTGCACAGCCAGGAGGTGCAGGGAGGAGGGAAGCACAGATAGGTCCCAAGGAGCTGGTGCTCCGTGTGATGGGGATATGACCTGTGGAAGTCCCTGCTGAAGGATAGCTTGGGTGCCAAACCTCTGCACTGCTTGAAGGTATACCAGTGCTTTAATAAACACCCACCACTTTTGCAATGACCTGGGAGAGCTCTCAGCACTTACCTCGTCTGCTGGTCTTGTTCCAACACCTCCTAGGCCCATGTTTCTGAACCAGCTGCTCTCTTTTCAAAATACATGCAAAAGCTCAGCATTGTCTGCAGAAATCCCCAGGGGAAACTGAGGCATCAAGCAGAGCCATGACCACCTGAGCCCTAGCTTGCTGTCTGCGCCCTCCTAGCTCCTGTCTGTGCATGCACAGCCTGCTCCTGGCAGGGGGACTGCTTGATGGACAGACTGGTAGGCTTAAAAAGAAATGCAGGCGTGTATCAGGAGAGGAGGTGTAACTGGAGCAGCACGAGCTGGTCCCGAGCTGCTGAGCACAGCTGATGGGCAATGTGCTGGCAGCAGGCTGTGGTTTGCAGCACGTGGTCCAGCACTGCCTGTGTTGCTACACTTCTTGTCAAACACAAAATCCAGCAAGAGTTAACTCAGTTTGTGCAGCTCCTTTTTTTTTCTTCGTCCTTTCCATGCTTTGGTTGCTGTTTCAAAGGCATTGTCATGGAATAGTTGGGTCAAAAGACAAAGGACTTTACTGCTCCACTGGCTTCCTCTGCTGCCAGCCTCCAGACTGGGACATGGGGAGGAACCTAGGTTGGGACATCAGCTAAAAAGTCTTGAAGATTCCTATTGCTAAATATCCTCTGGGAGGCAAGAGTGCAGGTTCATTTGATGATGGCACCAACCAGTGTGGTTTCCTCCAGAGCACCTGGAGTTTCCTTGATTGCCCTGTTCCCTCCCAAGATGCAGTCATAGACTCACAGAATCATTTGAGATGGAAGGAACCCTTTAAGGTCATCTGGTCTCATTCCCCTTCAATGAACAGGGACATCTACAGCTCAGTCAGGCACTCATGGCCTGGTCCAGCTTGTCTGTGGGTGCCTCCAAGGATGTCCCTGATCTGAGCCATGTTCCCCAACAGACAGAGGGGTGCTGGTGTGGATGTGGTGACGAACGATGGGCTGCATTGCTGTTGCTAAGGAAATGTTCCTTCAGGGCTCTTGGGCATGATTTTCCTGCTCTGTCTTCCTTTCCCAGTGACTGTCACCAAGCCTCTAGGCATCTTGGCAGCATTTTGGGCTCAAGAGCTCATCCCCTGCCCCACATCCTCACTGTTCCCAGCACCACTCCTTAGGGGAGTGGGTGCTTTTCCCTTGAGGTCCCCAGGGGCTTTGGGGCTGACGGCAGAGCAAGAGCAGCATGAGGTGTGGGCAGCCAGGAGAGATGGGCATGGCCCCCCCTGCTTGCTGAGTCCAGCCCACAGCCCCGGTAGTCAATGGCAACCTCCTGTCCGTTTCCATGGCAGCGGAAAAATTAATGCTGATGAAGCTGCTGAAGAGGAAGAGGAGACCTCAGTGGCTTTGGGCCTGATGTCCCCTCCTCCCTCACCCTGGCTGACCAGGGGGACATCACCCATCACCTCCTGTGCCAAGCCTATGACAGGTCGGGCTCTGGCCCTGAAGTCCGGATCATCCCAGGCAGCTCCTGCCGATGGCAGATAATCCCCAGTCTTCCACCAGCTCTACTCACCCTAATCCAGCCCCCGCCACCGACCTGAGCTGACCCCACCAGCAGCACCCGCTCAGCCCCACTCTGCCTCGTGAGGCAGCAAAGTGATTCTGAGTGATGACGAAGACAGGGGGGTGGTGTCCTGGCCCCGGGGATGTCCTGGTGCTGACATACTGCAGAGACAGGCACTGTAGGAGGACCCCACAAAGACCTCTGCCACGTGATGGTGATACCCATGGAAGTGCCAGTCACTGAGTGATCACAGAACCATAGAATCGTTAAGGTTATAGAAGACCTCTCACCCCCCCATGCCCACTGACCACGTCCCTCAATGCTACATCTCCATGGCCCTGAAACACTTTCAGGGATGGTGACACCCCCACCTTTCTGGGCAGCCCATGCCACTGCATCACAGCCCTTTCTGAGAATAAATCTTTCCTAATATCCAAAGTCATTCAAAAGGTGGTGACAGAGCCAGGTCTCCTTGACCCCATGTGCCAGCAGCAGTGCCACCACGCTGCTGTACTCTCCCCCAGCCCCAATTCAGCCCCACCACGCTCTCTTGGATGCCAGTCTCCCAAATTTCCCATGTTTTCTCCTTTGCCAGAGTGATAGAAAACCACCACGGGCTGGATGGGGAGGAGTACACAGCGCAGTACCCTGAGTGTGACGAGGGCTGCCTGCTGCAGTGTGACTGCTCAGCCGAGTGCTACCACGACGACAGCAGCCACCGCGAGTACAGGTCTGGGCAGGGGGCTTTGGGGGTGTCCCCAGTGGGAGGTGGCAGCGGTTGGTGTGGGAGCAGCTCCATGTCCCCATCTTAAGTGCATGTATGATCTTCTGACACTCTCACTGGCACAGCCGCAGCAAGCTCAGGGACATTGAGGTCTGGGTGTGATGGACGCGGTGATATTGGCCATGGAATGGTGGATGGTTTTCTTTTCTCACCTCAACCCTTTCCTGCAGGCTGAAAAGACGGTCGAGCAGCTCCACCTCCCCACCACCCAAGAAGAAAAAGAAAAAGAAATCGGGTCACCGCCGGAGCCGGTGAGTCCTCACTTGTCCCTGCACTGTCCCCTAGACAGGGAGGCTTCAATCCTGTGTACTCTCCCTGCTCAACTCTTCTCAGCCTCCGTGGAGCCAGGGGGCACCTAAGAACCTTTGGTCCCTGTGCTGATGCACCCTAAATCCTGGTTGCTCACCCCAATGTTGGTTAGCAGTGTTGGGCTCAATGAAAGTGGGAAGAATTTGAGCGTGGCACCGGGAAGAACTTGGTTCTCTTCCTGCTTTATATTTCCTGGCACAGTGGGAGGATGCTGTCCTTAAATAACCCTTTCTTTTCTGCCTTCCCTGCGGCAGCAAAAAGAGGAAACCCGGTTCAGAGCGCAGGTGAGTGTCCCTTTCCCAAATCCCCATGGCAATCAGCTGCTCTTGTCTCCTGCTGGAGGCAGTGAAGCCCACGAGGTGGCAATGGGACACAGCTGGATCTGCCTGCTCTGGCTGCAGGGTGAACCAGAGCCCTTCTGCCAAATGCTCTTTTCTGTCCCCTGAAGAAATAATTTCCTTGCAGTATTTGTGCATCTCAGGGGCTGTGCAGGGAAGTGACATGCTGATGGGTGGTGGGGATGGGGCTCCCCTGGGTCACAGGGATGGGGTTTGGGGTCCCACCCCATGGACACCACTTTCTTCCCTGCAGCTGTGACAGCTCTTCCCCGATCCGCAAGGAGAAGAAAAAGAAGACTGGAAAGAAGCACAGACGTGACAGGTGAGATGGACACATCTCCAGGGCTGGGGACACCAGACTGGTTGGTGGCTTCAGGGAGGGCTGGTGACACTCGTAGACTGGATAAGGTGGCAACGTGCATGGAACTGGGTGTCCCTTCATGGGGCAGAATTCCAAACCATGGGCTGTCACCTCCCCATGGCCGGGAGAGCCATCCCAGTGGTTCCTGCATTCTCATCTGCATCACCCCCAGGGGTTGCCTGTCCCTCACCCCCTGTCGACTGGCTCCACATGTCTCCTTCATCCCTGCTTCCTCTTTATCCTTAGGTCTGAGTCAGGCTCTCGGAAGAAGAGAAGACACAGGTGAGGGTGAAGGCTGCCGGAGCCACACCACTACCACTCATTCTGTCCCCCTCCCCCCAACACTGATTGTCACTCTGGAAGTGACAAGGGGCCACCCTATGATCTGGATGTGCACTGGCCAGGGCTCAGCACAGTGACCCATTGCAACTAGGTGCTGCTGGGCTTGGGGAAGTCCCTGCATCCCATCTCTGCCCTTTTACCTTTCTGCCCTCCCCACAGGTCCCGCAGCCCCAAAAACAAGAGGAAAGAGAAAAACAAAGAGCGCAAGAGGTGAGGTGCTGTGAGCGGGTGGCTGGCAGGATGCGTGCCCCTCAACACTGCATGAGTGCCCAGTGCAGAGGCTCATCCTGCCCATCAGCCCTGGCTGTCATCCCCACAGGTCCCGCAGTGCATCGCCAGCCTGGCGGTCACACCGGCGCAGCAGCTGCAGCTCGCACAGCGCTTCGCTCTCCTCCGACTACAGCGACTCCAAATCCCCCAGCAGGTAGGAGCACCCTTGGGCACAGTGTTCCCATGGTAGGCACCTCTGTGGGGGCAGCAGAGGAGCAGGTGCTGAAGCACCTTACAGGTTGCTTAAGGGGTTGGAAGGGCAGCACTGGGGAGTCAAGGAAAAATCTCAATTAGGAAAAAGCGCAAAACCCGATTTCTTGCGCCATTTTTTGTTCTTGCGCCATGATCCCAACCCAGTGTTGAGTGCCGCTGTTATGCTGGCACGTGGGTGAGGATGTGCTATGCGCCTTGCTGAGCACGCCGTGCCCCACAGGCTAAGCCCCAAGCATCGTGAGGATGGCCCCAAGGGCAACAGCGCCCGCTCCAGCCGCAGCCCGTCCTCCTCCTCACCGCGCCGCTCGGCCTCACCGCACCAGAACGGGCACAAGGGCAGCGCCCAGAATGGCCGCCACAGCCATGGCCCTGCACTCGAGGAGCCAACGGATGTACGTAGGCTTTTCTTGCACCATGGTTTGCTGCCCTCTCCTCCTCTTCCTTCTCCCTTTGCAGGAATCCCTCACCCTGGCTCTCCTCTTCCCTCCTTCCCCATCTCAGTGACGGACAGACTGATGGGGGTGCAGTGCTGGCTGTCCCCGTCCCTGTGTAGACATGTTCCCCCAACCCTGGGGTGCTGGTCCATTTCCTGTGGGCAGGATCCCCAGCACCAGGTCCCCCTTTATGGCCACTCAGTGGATGTCACACCCTGAGGTGTCCCCCTGTGGCTCAGCAGGGCCACTGTTGGGAGTGGAGTGCTCACAGGTGGCCAAAAAGTGGGTAAAAACGGAAGTGTTATTTCCATGCCACCTGCAGCCCATCCAAGTGCAGGATCCCAGCACCACTCTATGTGCCCAGACTGAGGACTGCTGTAAGGCCAGGAGAGGTCATGGAGTGGGGCTTGGGGCTGAGCGCTAGGATTCTGGGCATCCAGGGTCCCCATGATGGGTGATAGCGGGTCCAATTGTCCCCAGCAACACCAAGAGTCCCAGCAAAACCCAGCTGTGCTGGGGGCTTGTCCCCACAACGGGATGAGGGGACCAGTCCCAGTTTAACCAGTAATGGAGCACCTCTCTACACTCTTCTTTGCTGTTTGGGGTCTGGGTGCCAAGGAGCCCCCACCCCGGGCATCTCGCATTGCCCATGAGCTCCCTTGGCTCCCCAGCTCTAGAGGGGACTTTTCTCCGACAACTTTTCTCTCTTTCTCTCTCTCTTTCTCTCTCTGTTTTTGTTTTCTTTGTTGGTTTTTTTTTTTTTTTCCTTTTCTTTTTAATCCCATCTGTGTTTTTCTTTAGCCTCCCATTTGAAAAAAACCCGAACGGTAATATACAATTCCATTTCTTGCTCAGCAGAAGCAGGGAAGAGGGGGAGGGAAGGGCAATGAAACCACGCTTTTTTTCCCCACTTGTTTTAGTTTCCTTTATCATGATTTATTTTCTTTTCCTTCATAATGTACAGAAATGCAAACAATATATATCTCTCTTATTTTATTTCCCCCTGTCGTCGTCGTGTTGTTCTAGAATTTTTTGCTTTCGTGTGTATTAATGTGGAGAAGAAAAAAAAAAAAAAAAAAAAAAGAAACAGAAAAACCAACAGATGTGTTTCTAAAATATTGACAGCCTTTGAACATTGTACCTCCATCCTCTATATTTTGAACGAGGGCTTTAAAAGGGAAGCTGACCGAGCGGCCGTGCGCCATGCCCGCCCTCGGCTCCGAGAGTCGGCCGCGGCCCGGCAGCTGTCCGTGGTGCTGACGGGGGTCTCCTCCCCACGCTGTACCCCAGCAGGACGGGGCCGTGGGGGCCGCGGTGCCCACCTACCGTTGACCCCCTTCCGGCCACGCCATGCCGTGATGCTGCCGTACTGCATCCCGAGCACCCCGAGCACCGCAGCATCCCGAGCATTCTTCCCAGCAGCGGCAGGGCTGAGCACCCAGCCTCCCCCAATCTCTCCAAAACTACTCTATTCAGCCCATTTTTCCTCATCTCCCTGCCCAGCACCGCAGGCTCCCCGATCGAGGCAGGGTGCTGTGTGATGTTGACTTCCCTTTTAAATTCCCCGTCCCGTCTCCATCCATCCTCGCCTCCAGCTGCCTCCCCATCCTCTTTGCATTTGTCCTTCCTCCCCATCTCTCCCTCCTCCTCCTCCTCACCTCGCTCTCTCACTTGCACACACTCTGTAACTGATTTCTCTCTGGTTTTCTTTGGGCCGGTGCTGAGACAGCCCTCCCGGCCTCCACACGTCCTGCTCCATCCGCTCCCCTTGCATGTTGTTTGGGATTTGGTCGTGTCCAGCAGCCACTTTTTGGACCGAATCGCAGTGTTGCTGTCTAGGGGCTGGGTTACACACAAAGCTGGCAAACCTGCTGCGGCCGCGAAAGCCACTGGCTTTCCAATTAAGCACAATGAAAAAAAAAAAGATGCAAACGAGACCAATTATATATTAAAAACTCTAAGCAAAGCAAACTTGATTAGCAAAGGGGTCTAAATCACATTACTAAAGAGTCATTGTCTTTTTCCCATTCTGCACTCCAAATGTGGAGATTATTGTTTTCTTTTTTATTATTGCATTCCTGTCACTGCCAATTCAGAAGGTAGGTATTTCGTCCACCTCTGCACGTTCACTTCTGCAGATGAGCCTGTTGAAAAGCACCGTAGCTTGATTTAATGTTATTTTCTCTTTCTTTCTTACTTTCTTTCTCTTTCTTCCTTTCTTTCTCTCTTTTTCTCTTTTTCATTTTGTCTCTTTTTGGTGGCTATATATGATTTTTTTTTTCAATTTGTATGGTTTTCCCCAGTTAGCTGCAAAGCCATGCTCTTCTCTTACGTTCTTTTTTATTATTTTTTTTGCCCTGTTCATGTAAATTTTTTCTTTCTTTCTGCCTTTTCTCTTTTCCTCGTTCTGTTGGTAGAATGCATTTCTGTGTGTTTTAGCCCTCCGAGTTTGTGTTTGTTCCCACAGATGGTGCAGTCACGTTGGGTCGGGCTGAGTTCCCCCATGCTTCCTTAGGGGCTGGATAACAAGATGGATTTAATGAAACATAGAGGCAAAGAGAAATAGGCACATCCCAGTGTGTGAGAAGGATTTATGGAGCTATGGGTGTTTTGGGCTGCAGGATGGGGAGGGAGGAAGGGCCAGCAAGAGAGAAATCGAGGGAGATTGGATATTTTTTGCCCCTCCCTGGGCTGTTGTGGCAGTGAGCTGAAGGGACCTGGGGAGAGCACTGGGGGCTGCAGAGATCTTCTGAGATCTTCCATGCCCAGAACAAGTACCCAGAGGTGTTTTTCCTCTGGACTGGACCTTTGCAAGGGTTTATTTGGATCATCCTTATTTTCGTCTTCCAATAGAAGCCCCTTCTGCCCTCCCCATCCCTTTTTCTGTGTTTTGGATGTGGACCCCATAACCCCACAGCATGGATGGCAAATGTGGGAATGCCTCACTTGGGAGGAGGTCCCTTCACTCTGTCTTTCTCTCTCTTCTTCTTCACTTGGATTTTTCCTTGGATGTAGGGCTGGGGTGCAGCCACGGCCCGATCCCTATGTGGGTGCCGATGGCGGGGCATCCATCCCCACTGCCACTTTTCCCCCTCGCTGGAGCAATGACAGCAGCAGCCAATTATTGAAGCAATTGCTAAAACTGCACCAAACCACCCTCCTCGTTTCCCTCAGGGCTCTGCAGCTGTAGAGTCTGCAGGTGCTGGCTTGGACCACTTGTCCATAGGAACAAGGGTGTGATGGGGCCGTGCTGACAGCAGCATGTCCTTTTGGCAGCATCTTCCTTGCAGACCCACAGTACATCATCCACTTCTCTTTAGGGGGAGAAAAGCAGCATTTAGGATTAACTACATTTGAGGCAAAGGGGATGGTGGAGAAATGAGGTCAACGGCCACCCCGAGGACAGCGGCACCTCCCAAATCTCCTTAAGCCCCATCAGATCACACAGGATTTACCCTTCATGGGCATCAGGAGCTGATGGAATGGGGGAGACTTCCCCAAAGCCTTCCCATAGCCTAAGACCTTCAGCCTCGTTCGGTTGGGGTGGTCACCACGCCGGTGGCCCCGTGTCACTGCTGGGTAGTCAGGATGGGCCCCCGATTTTGGAGTGTAGTGAAGGGAGTTTTGTTTTATTTCTCTCCTCTCTTTGTCTCTGTCTCTCCTCCTCTCTCTCTTTCTTTCTCTCTTGCATTTTTGTGAATCTAATGATGCACTTATATTGCCCCGCTTTTCCCTTCTCTTCATACCTTACCTACTAAAGGAGGAAATGCCACTTTTTTGGTAAGTGGATGTTAACCAAGAGGGACTTAAAAAAAAAAAAAAAAAAAGCAATTAATGGAAAAAAAAAAAAGGAAGCAGAAATCAAAGTCTGTGTTGAGTGCTGATGAGGACTTAGCAGTTCCCTGCAGAGTCACAGCTAACAGATCAATGCGTATCCCAGGAAGAGTTCAGAGACATTCATTTATCTCAGTAACGATGACATTTGTGAAGTTTTGGTTTGGTTTTCCTTTGATTTCGATGTTTTCTTCTTTCTTTTGGTTTCTTTTTCCCTTCTCTTCCCTCACCCCCCAACTCCCTGCCTTGCCCTTCATTGTTGCTCTGTGCCGTCTTCTTCGTCTCTTGATTTGTTTTAAGCCAAAAACCTTACTATCTATAAACCTATGCATATATAAACATTATAGACTTCTATATATGTGCATGCCTCTGTGTGAGCAGCCCTCCCACCCCGCACCCACCCAGCCCCTCACCTCTTTGTTCCCCCCTCTGTCCTTCAGCTCACTCCAACTTACTCTCCCCCTTTCTCCCTCCTCTCATCTTTTCTTTTTTTCTCATTTTCCTCAGTTATTTTGGGTTTTCCTCCCCTTTTCCTTCCACCTCTCTTGGTTGGGGTGGGCGGGCGCTGGGGTTGCTTTCTCTCCAGGTGTCCGGGGGGTCGTTTCTTTCCCTTTGAGCTCTCCCTCCCCAATGACTTTGGGTTTCCTGAATTTTTTTCGTCTCCCCTACCCAACCCCTCTTTGTTTCTTTGTCTTTTCGTTGATTTTTTTTATTCTTTATTTTTTTTGCGTTTTGCATGCGGAGGTTTGCATGACCCACGTTGTTGAGGGCGAGAGGCTGAGGAAGGTGCAGGGTAGCATCTGTGTAGCCTGCCTTAATGCGATGTGCGTTGACGTTGTGCACCAAGCCCCGGCCCGGCGCGCTCCACTAAAGACAGCTTTCTCCTTCTTTCTTCTCCTCTCCCCTCCGCCTGTCCCCATTCTCTCTGTCTCTCTTCCCCCTGCCAGAGGCCGGCCTCGCCGTCCCCTTCTCCACGGCCTCGCGGCAGGACGGACCCGCCGTCCCCTCGCACCCGGGGCGGCCGTCATGGTGCCCACTCGCCCTCGCCGGAGCGAGCCAAGCACGGCCACCGGCACCGCTCCCGCTCCGCATCGCCGCCCCGACACCGCGGTCAGGCCCCCCGCCTGCCGGCCCCAACGGGGCTCAGCCCCACTGGCTACAGCAGTGACTCGGAGGGCTCGGTGTGCTCGCACCCGCTCAGCCCCGACAGGACCCACGGTGCCCACGCTAAGAAGTAAGAGCAATCTGGGTGCCACTACATCGGAAGCATGGGTATCCGGGGTGTCCTGTTGCTATCCAGGTGTGGGATGTGCTCCAAGACTAGGGTGGGTGGCCATTGGGTTGGCGTGCTGTTGGAGAGCGATTCCAGTGGGGATGGGTGAGTCCCATAGTGCCCAGATGGCTCTGTGGGATCTTGGGGCATCAGGTTGGATGTCAAGAAAAGGTTCTTCACTAAGAGGGTGGTCAGGCACTGGGACAGGCTCCCCAGGGCAGGGGTCATGGCCGTGAGCTGCTGGAGCTTGAGGAGCATTTGGACAGTGCTCTCAGACATATGGTTTGATTTTGGGTGGTCCTGTGTGGAGCCAAGAGTTGAACTCAATGATCTTTACAGGCCCCTTCCAATTCAGGATATCCTGTAATTCTACCCAGCAGGGAATGGGACCAGATGGCCCTTAAGGGCCCTTCCAACTCAAACAATGCAATGATTCCATGATAATCAGGGTGGTTTGGGATCCACATGGATGCTTCTGCTCCTCTATGGGCTCACAGGGGACAGTCCACAGGTTGCAGAAGGAAAGGAACCATGGTGAAAACGTTCCTGTGACATTATCCCCTCTGCCCCTCGCAGGGTGAAGGACAGGCACCACCGGGGCCGTCCCAACAGCAGCTCAGAGTCGTCAGCGAAGCACTCTCGACACGGAGCCTCGGAGCGGAGGAAGAGCCCCTCACACAGCACAGGGCACCGCAGCACCTCCTGGAGCTCCAGCGCTTCCCTCTCCAAGTCTCGCTCCCGCTCACGGGACAAGCGGGCAGCACGCAGCCGCAGCCGCTCTCCCTCGCAGAAGAAAACTGCCAGCAGGTCAGCTGGGGGACATGGCCGGCCTGGGGTCTGAAGGATGGGCAGTGGTGGCAAGCAGAGCCTGGGGACCACCCAGGCCCCTGTGCTGCTGGGTACGTGCATGGCTTCCGTGTCCCATCTCTTAGGACAGCCTCAAAAGTACCTTCAGAGAGCACCCACACCTGAGAACGGGTTCCAGCCCTCCAGGTTTGGGGAGGCGCTTTACCTGCCATGCATGGGCTGTCCCAGTGTCCCACACAGATGCCATGTTGCCCCACATGCCTCTAATGCTTCTCCTTGTGTTGGTGTAGAGAGAAAGACAATGAGCCTCGAACACGCCACAGTGACCCAGACCCTGCTCGGGCCCGGCGTCGCTCCCGAAGCTACTCCCCAATCAGGAAGAGGAGACGTGACTCCCCCAGCTTCATGGAGCCCAGAAGGATCACCAGGTAGGTCCCAGCATGAAGTCCGTGCATGGTCTGTGTCCAGACTGTGTTCCCAGACAGCCCCAAAGGGTGGGTGAGTGGTTAAATGGACGGATGGATGGATGGTTGGATGCGTGGATGGTTAAGTGATTGTATGGATGTATAGATGGAAGGAAGAAAGATCACAGAACGGTTTGGGTTGGAAGGGACCTTTATGATCATCTGGTTCCAACCCCCCTGATAGAGGCAGGGACACCTCCCTCTAGAACCAGTTGCTCCAAGCCCCATCCTGCCTGGCATTGAGTGCTTCCAAGATGGATGGATGGTTAAATGGAAGGAAGGGAGGAAGGGAGGAAGGGAGGAAGGGAGGAAGGGAGGAAGGGAGGAAGGGAGGAAGGGAGGAAGGGAGGAAGGGAGGAAGGAAGAAAGGAAGAAAGGAAGAGTGGACGGGTAGATGGATGGATGAATGCTTGAATTGGCTTGGTGAAAGGCTGCATGAATGGATGGATGCATGTACAGAAGAACGGATGGGTGAAAGGACGGATGGACCAGTCGCTGGACAAACATCTGTAAGGACAGCTACATAACCCTAAGGATGAATGAAGAGCCAATCAGGCTGGTCCAGATGGATAACCAGACTGCCTCCAGTACTACAATCTTCTGGTCTCTTCCCATTTACAGACAGAAAATAAGAATAATTTTACTCTATGTGTGTATATTCCAGCAAGAAGTCCATTTGTCTCCTGCCCTCTAAATGCAGTTTTCTCCTTCCTGAGATCCTATTGACTCAGGATGCCAGGCTCTAAGACAGGCAATATTTAGTGCCAGACAAAACACTGTGTGCATATATAGCACCTCGTTAGCATGCAGCGCTGGCGGCATTAGTGGTGCTGAGCTGAGATTACCTCGTTTCTGACCTATTTGTCTCCCTTGCTATCAGGCTCTGAGCATGGCGCTGGCTGGATTTTCAGTCACAGGCTCTTGCTCACTATGGGAGGATTTTGATTTCTCCTGGCCTGGGCTGAAGTCGTAAGATAGAACAAGAGAAATATTGCCCATATCAGCCAGCTCTGCTGTCCTGACCGTGTCACCCCCCCACAGCCAAAATTCCCCAGAGCTGCAGGGTTGCCGGTGTGTGGCCCAGCAGATGACATCTTCATGGCACCATGTGCCACCTCCTGTGCCCCTCCTTCTCCCTCAATGATGCCAATGTCTCCTTTTCCATTTCATCCCAAGGTTCCTCTCGGAGAGCATCGCCGCCTGCCTGGCTCGCAGGGTAACCTCTCCCCTTCCTTCTTCTCTTCCTCCCAGACTGCTCCAATCTGTGCGTCTCTCTCCGGTCCCACTAACGCTGCTCACTGCTGTGTAGGGATGGGACAAGGGGGCAAGGAACGAACTGCTGTGTCCCTTGCAATTGTGGGGACCTGCAGGGCTCTGGGCTCAGCACCATGCACTGCTCTGGATGTCACTGCCCCATAGGAGCCGGTGCGGGTCGAAGCTCGGGCAGCCTGACGCTGGCTAATCCCTAACGACTCTTTTTCAGCAGCTTTCACTCTTTGGTGGCTGGGAAAACACAAAAGCCACATTAACCCGCTCACTTTCTGTCCTCGGCGCTGCCTAATCCAGGACTAACACCCGGGGCGAACAGGGGAGAGGAAGGGGATGTGGGACGGGTACTGTCACCCTGCAGCCACCCCAAGCACACTGAGGTGGAGGTTGGGCCGTTGCTCCCCATCCCTCCCCTAACCCACGCCAGGACTGTGACTCGGTTTCCCTTTTCCCTCCGCAGCGCTCGCAAGCGTCCCATCCCCTACTACCGCCCCAGCCCCTCGTCCTCCAGCTCGCTGAGCACCTACTCGTACAGCCGCAGCCGCAGCCGCAGCTACGACACCTACAGCACCAGCCGCAGCCGCAGCCGGACTCGCAGCCCCCCCAGCCGCTCGCGCAGCCCCCCCAGCCGCAGCCCCAGCTACAACAGCCGCAGCAGCTCCGAGAGCGCTGGCTTCTGAGCCCCCCCGCCCCAACCAGGAGCCTCCATCCCACCCCAGGAACAGGGGATTGCCAAGGATGGGCCAAGCGGGCGGGGGTGACCCTGAGCCTGGAGGGTATTTGGGGGTTGGGAGATGGGGTGGGGGGTGGCTTATTTTGGGGGGACAGGGTGGGCGAGCACAGAGCGAGGGAACAAATCACATCGACGTAGCTGGGGGGGTGCTCCATCCAGCGGTGCTTTTTGGGGTATTTGGGACTTTTTGAGCACCTTTCCCCAATCCATGCCTAGCTGGAGTGTGCGATGTGGCCCTAAAGGAACTGCAGCATCTCACTGACTTGTATCCCTGTGGCACCCCTGGGGACAGAGGTGACACGAACTATCCTGGGGACCCAACAGCCCTGGGCACCACAGAGCCACCGATGAACAAAGCATCGCCACATCCCCAGTGCTCATCCCGCACGGGGTTACGGGCCCAAGGAGTGGGCTGGGATCCCCCCCCCACTCCAGGGCTTTGCATCTCCTGCCCCTGAAGAACAAATGCTGTCAGGTCTGGATTTGGGGTGAAAAAAGGTGTTTTGGGATGCGTCTCACCGTGCTTGTGGGGTGGTCCTCACCAAGGTGCCCCCTGCACCCCCATTGCTTTGGGCGCCCCTGGACACGTGGTGCTCCTTCTGAGCACTGCGACCCCAGCTGGGTGCCCTGGCCACCTCTCGCTTCAGTTCCTGACCCAGATGGCTTTATGGTGACACTTTCCCCAAGAACTGCAGCCCTGGGGGATGGCTGTGGCTCCTCTCCTGGAGGATGCTGCACTGGCACCATGGTGTGGCAGTGGGTTCGCTGTGCCCTGGGGCTGGAGCATCCCTGCAGCCCTCCCTGGAGCTTTAATGAGAGATAAAGGATGCGGCCCGCACGCTTTGCTGACAGCCCCAATTCCACAGCATTGTGCTGATTTTCAAAAAAAAAAAAAAAAAAAAAAAAAAAAAGGCCCTTCCTGGGGGCATCCCCCCTGGCCCCACTGTTGGTGTTTAATCCACATGGACCGTGTGTTTTCCGCCTGGTTGGAGGAGGATGAAGCACTGAGCCGGGTGGGATGGGAGCACAGCTGCTGGGATTAACCCACAGCGCCGCAATGGGATCAGGGCTTTGTCCCTGCCCCGAGGGCACCGCAGAGCTGGGGCGTCCCTTTGAGTCCAGTAATGCCCCTTTAGTGCTGGTGGGCTGGGGGGCTCTGACCACGGCCACGCACTTCAGGCACCCTGCATTGCCCTCCCCCTGCACAGGGATGCTTCGGAGGCATCCTCTGGTGTGGTCCCTATCCCAATCCTAATTCCCATCCCCTTCCAATCCCAATCCCCATCCTAATCCTCAGTTCCCATCCCGGACCCCATTCCAATTCCAGTCCCCATCTCAATCTCTAATCCCAATTCCCATCCCTGACTCCACTCCAATCTCCGTCCCCGTTCCAATCCCCCCCATCCCCATCCCACACCTGCCCCCATCCCTGCCCCATGGCCACAGCTCCCACAGTGACAGAGCCCCGGACAGGACAGCACATCAGGGAAAATTTCCAGTCTTCCTCTTTTACAGTCTCTGTCTCCTGCCGCGGAGGGAGCCAACTGGAACAAAATACTCTGTAGAAATACTTCAGTATTTTCCTCTCTCTCGCGCGCTCTCTTTTTCTGGATTGTGAGTACAGCTGTAGATTCAGTGAGCTGGTTCAATTATAATAAAATATACAGTATATATTGTAAATGATGCTGCGGGGCATGGAGAGGTTTCTTTGCATCCCTCCCTCCCACCCCAGCCCCCGGCAGGATGTGGCCCCACACCTCCAGCTCTGCAGCTCAGCTGCTTTGATCCCTTTCCAGTCCCATTTCCCAGACAACACAGGGCTCTCCCCCACCCCAGCACCCGACAAAGGGCTCTGCAGGTTGTGCTGGGACAGAAGGGACACCCCGACCCCCCCCCTGCTGAAGGATCCCTCTCCCATCCTTCCTGTATCCCCATCTGTGCCAATTACCCCACAGGGAGGGCTCTCACATCCCTGTGCCGAGCACATCAGGGCTCAGCTACAGCCATCTCCTGGCTGTGCTGGCTCTTAAAAGCAAAGCCTGCACACTGCAGGAGCCGGGAAAGGTTGGACAGACAGCTCAAGGCCAAAGCTCAGCCTCTAATAGTCCCAGTGTTCCCAACAACCAGCAACAGCTTCATCAGTCCCCGCTGCCCCCATCAGCCACCAACAGCACCATTCATCCCTACAGGTCCCACTGGTCCCTAGCAAACCCCAGCAGTCCGCATCGATTTGTACGATTCCCTGCTGACCCCCACCAAGCCCTACAGCCTCCATCAGTCCTCCTGACCTCCATCTGCCACACTTGGCCCCGCTGACCCCCACCAAGCCCTGTAACCCCCACTGGCCCCTCTGTCCTCCATCAGCCCCACAAACCCCACTCCCAGGTTCTGGGACCCCCAACCCCGACCCATACGGGCCCTGGGGTTCCACATTTCTGATGGGCTCCAGAAGTTTCCAGCGCGGCGGTGACGCAGCGGGTCAGGGCTGGGCTCGGGCTCCTGCTCTGACTCATCCCCCCAGCACTGCGCATCCCAAGGACTGTTGACGGGAAGGGGAGGGCAGGCTGGGAGCCATCCAGCTCCCATCCATCAGCGCCAAGGAGCCGTGCGGGGCGGGCAGCCGGGGCTTGCGGCTGCGCAGGGCCAGAGAAAGCTTCTGGTTCCTTCCCGGCCCCGCTGCGATTTCCATTAATAGCCAGCTGCTCCTGCCGGCTAAAAATAACCATCGGGAAGCGTTCATAAGGCCCTACAGCCGCTCCACACCACCGCCCTGCACACCATGGCCGAGCGCCGCGTGCCCTTCACCTTCCTCAGCAGCCCCAGCTGGGAGCCTTTCCGCGACTGGTACCATGGCAGCCGCCTCTTCGACCAGTCCTTCGGGATGCCGCACATCCCTGAGGATTGGTACAAGTGGCCCAGCGGCAGCGCCTGGCCCGGGTACTTCCGTCTGCTGCCCAGCGAGAGCGCCTTGCTGCCCGCCCCTGGGTCGCCCTACAGCCGCGCGCTGAGCCGGCAGCTGAGCAGCGGCATCTCCGAGATCCGGCAGAGCGCCGACAGCTGGAAGGTCACCCTGGATGTCAACCACTTTGCTCCCGAAGAGCTGGTGGTGAAGACCAAGGATAACATCGTGGAGATCACCGGTGGGTCTGCGGGGTGGGGTGACGGGGGGACGTGGAGGGCATGGGGGACGTGGGGTGGTCGGGTGGATGGATTCGTGGTTGGGGTATGCAGTGAAAATGGAGCGAGGTGGGAAAGGGGAAAGGGAAGGGGAAAGAAAGAGTGTGGGAAAGGTGGAAGGGGAAAGGAAAAAGGAAAAGGCAAAAAGGAAAAGGAAAGAGAAAAGGGAAATGGGAGAAGGGGAAACGAAAAAAGGGAAAAGGGAGAAGGGGAAACGAAAAAGGGAAATAAGAAAGGAAAAGGGAAATAGGGATGGAAAGGGAAAGGGAAAGAAAAGAAAGGGGGAGGGAAGGAGAAAGGGGAAAGGGAAAGGAAAAAGGGCAAAGGAAAGGAAATAGGGAAGGAAAGGAAAAGGAAAGTGAAAGGGGAAGGGGAGAGGAAAGAAAAAGCGAAAGAGGGAGGAGAAGAGAGGAGAGGGAAAAGGGAAAAAGGAAAAGGAAAGTGGAAAAGGAAGAAAGAGAAAAGGAAGGAAAAAAAAAAAGGAAAATGATAAACTAACAGAGAAGGCATAGGGTTACAAGTGCATTCCAGGCATGACTCACGGTGTACACAGTGTGCTGGGTGCACAGTCCCCAGCCCCACACTGCTGCTGTGCACAGCCCACGGTAGGGATGCAATCTGTGCCCCATCGGGACAGAGCTGGCAGTGCCATGGGGCAGAGCCAGGCCCACAGCACCCTGAGCATCCCTGCATGTCCGGGGGGGGACTCAGCAAGGGGTGCTGTGACAAAACACAGACCCATGGCATGAGGCCAGCAGTGTGCCCAGCACAATGGGAAGCTGAAACAAAGGCAGTGGAGGTCGGTTGGGTCCACCATCACCGTCTGTTTTCTGCCCTTAAGTGTAGGGGCTTCTCCTGTAGGGACACAGGTGTCTCCCATCACTCAGGGCTGCATGTAGGGCAAGCAGCAGTGCTTCCATCCCACAGTTGATGGAGCAGGGAAAGGCAAACCACAACTGTGGAGACCCAATGGGCGCCAACCCTTTGCTGTTTATTCCTTCCAGGCAAGCATGAGGAGAAACAGGATGAGCACGGCTTCATCTCCAGGTGCTTCACCCGCAAATACACGTAAGTACCAGGCTGGGGGGAGAGGGGGCACACAACCTGCCCATCCCCAGCTCACACACACTGGGGTTGTCACTGGCCCCAATGGGAGACACGCAGAAATGTGGGGATTTTCTGACCTCTCCCCTCTCCCCACAGCCTCCCCCCCGGTGTGGAAGCCACAGCCGTGCGCTCCTCTCTGTCCCCTGATGGGATGCTGACAGTGGAAGCCCCGCTGC